TCCGTGCAGCACTGGGGGCTCGGGAGGGGAAGGGGCGGCTCTGGTTTGCGTCCTCCCCATCCCAGCGGGCTGCATTCAGCAGAGACGCCCCGCGGGTGCCCCCCACCCGCTGCCTGCCCCCCTCCCCGCAGGCTCTCGGCCCCCCCTTCCCTTTTGTCTACAGAACCGCCCATGCTGAACAATAGCAGCCCCCCGCCGCTTCCCGTCCGCTGCCGATGGGGTGCGGAGCAGCTCCCCCCCCCCAGGCCCCGCAGGCAGCCATGTAGGGGCAGCCGCACGGTGCCGGGGGGCCGCGGGGGGGAGCGGGCTACAGGAATGCTTACAGGCACGGAGGGCCCCTCCCCGCGTCCCCCCCCCGCCCAGCTGCGCTGGGATCGCCCGGCAGCTGGGAGGGGATTTAGCGGCATCGCTGCTGCTCGTTTGTGCGGCTTTAAAAGCAGGGCTGCGGTCGCGGCTCTCGGCCTGGGGGCTTCCCGAGGGTCCCTTCTGCTCCCAGATGGGTGGGGGCCTCTCTGCCCGCCCCCTCCCTCAGCCCGCGGCATCGCGAAGCGGTTCGCCTCGCGGTGCCGGCGTGCTGGGGCAGCACCGGGCTGCTCTGTTAGCGGCCGCCCGCGGCTTTGGAGCGCTTCGGGGGCTCGGGGGGAGGGTGAATGACTTCCAGTATGCAGCAGGGAGCTTTGTGCCCACGAGGAGCTGAACCACGGGGATGCTTCCTCTCGTTCCCCTTCGGCTCGCTGCTGGGGGCTGCTCCCCTTCCGGGGGGGGATGCATGAACCGTAGGCAGTGTGCGGGAGGTGGTCCGGGGGGGTCGGGTTGTGAGGTGCGCCGAGTGGGTGGGTGCTCAGCTCTCCGCTGTCCCGCTGGGGAGCTCAGCCCGGAGCCGAGCGTCCCCGCGGGTTCACACCTGGCCCCGTCGCAGGGCCCCAGCCCCATTATCCGGCTGCGTGAGAAAACCCCCACCTTGGCGGCGGGGGAAGGCAGAGCGGGGAGGCCCCGTGAATTGGTCCTTTGAAGCAGCCTCCCCTCCTGCCAAGCGCCAGCTGCGGGCGGACGGCCTCACAAAGCGCCGGCTTTAGCACCAAGGTAACGGCGCAGCGGGGCGAGGGGCGCCGGGGCCAGGAACCCCCCCGCACTGCCCTCCCCATCCGGATCGCCGTGCAGTGGCGCGGTGCGGGACGGGCCGGCAGCTGCAAAGACAAAGGGCCGAGGCAGAGCGGAGCTGCGGGGTTCTCATCCCGCACCCCGGGGCGGCTCCGCTGCCGGTAGCTGTGCGTGCGGTGCCGCGGTCCGGCCCTTTCCCGCAGAGCTGCGGCTCCGCATCCAGGCTCGGTGCTGCCCGCACCGTGCCGCTCCCTGCCCTCCTGCACCGGGGGGGGGGTGGAACCGTCCCGACCCGTTTTCTTGCCTAAAGGGGGAAGAAAAAAAAGATCCAGCCGCATGCCTGGGCGCTGCGGGGAGAAAGTGACCCAGACAGACAGGAATCCGAGCTGCGCTGCTCGGGGAGGGTTTGGGTTACAGCTTGGGTTCCAGCCCGGCTGCAGAGAGGGGGCTGCGAGGGGGTCGGTGCTGGATGAGCTCATGTGGGATCCGCGGGGCCGCTGAGCTTTGGGGTGGGTTCGTGTTTTGCACTGGGGGCTCTCGGGGAGGGCTCTGCAGAATGGGAGCACGGGGTGAACGTACGGGCATCCGGCAGCTGAACGAGGCAGGGTTTTGTGCGGGGGGGAGCATTGCAGTGAGCGGCACTGCTGCCCCGATCCACGCGGGGCCAATGGTGGCACGGAGGGAAGCGTCCCGGAGCCGTTTTGGAGGGCGCTGCTGGCAGCCTGTCCTCGGGCAGCATCTCGCTGCAAATGCTCCCTCAGCCCCATGATTGATGAGGTTTTACGAGAGGAGCCCTCGGCGCAGCCAGGCGACCCCGCGTGCTGCTTGGAGCCCAGCGGGTGTCCCGGGAGCTGCGGGGAGCTCGCATTGCAGCTCGGGGCCATCGGCTCCATCGGGGAGGTCCCACAGGTTTTTGTGCGCGCTGCAGCGCTCGCGTTGGGTTGTTCCTAAATTTGCTCTGTTCGGGAGGAGTTGCTGCTGTGACAACAAAGGGCTGAGCTTTCTGTCATCTGCCTGAGAGGCGCAGGTCGGTTCTGAGATAGCAGCGTCTCACAGCCGCACCATTTACATCGTTGCCGTGGTCACCGTCGTCCCGACCTCATCCCAGCTGTGGGGGCATCCAGCATCCCAGGGCCGGGTCTCTGCTCCACGTGCTGCATTCTCAGCTCTTCCCTTTGCCATCCCCACTGCAGCTCCGTTTTCCCACTCGATGTCCTGCCCCCATCCCTGCCGCAGTGCCAGGCTGTTTGGGGCAGATCCTTCGGGGCCGTGGGTCCACAAATTGAGGCCCCGCATCGGGTGGGTTGTTTGCTGCAGGGCTGCTGGGTGAATGCACGAGGTGGAGGGGAAGAGCAGAGCCTGGAGCAGCGGGTGCCCATCTCACGGCACTCTGGGTCCCCCAGCACCGCAGCAGAGACCCCCACAGCACCGTGTGCCAACCCAGGGTTTGTGCTGGAGCCCCGATTCCTTTCTCTGCTGTGCTCTCACACGGTGAGTCCCGGTCACAGTAAATCACAGAGGGAAATGCAGCAGCAATGCTCCTTGCCATGGCAACGGTAGGATTGCATCAGGGCTTTTTTTTCTTCTTTTTTTTCCGAACTGCAAAACTGGATAAGCAACTCCCTGAGGGGACAGTAGTAAGAGAGAAGGGAATATTTTTGTCCTGTAGGCTTTGGGGCTGGAGCTCCGCGTGCAGAACCAGCGCAGTGTTTTGCTCCGTGCTGGTGATGGGAGTGGGAATGGCCCTGGGGGGCTGGGGAGGGCTGTGTGTGCTCCCCCAGGGGGTCTGGTGGGGGGACCCTGCCTCACATCCCCTCCTTCCTCCTGTTTCCCTCCTGCCCTGTGCTTTCAGTGGGAACATAGAGTGCAGGGGCAGCTCGGTGTGGGCAGGGGGCCCCGGGTTTGGAAGGTGCTCTGCAGAGCTGAGTGAACGCAGCCATTTTTCGACACATTTTTGTTCCCTCTGCGGTCCCGCTGTTGCAGAGCTCCCCTAAGAGCTGTGCTGTGGGGCTCTGGGTATCCATCCAGGCTCCTTGCCACTCTCAAAAGGGCCACATCAGCAACGAGGGCTGACGTGCTGCCTTTGGGACGTATCATTTATACCATGTTTGGTGCCATTCTCTGTCACTGGAAGCTTTAAAAAAAATGGATGACACCAAAATGGGCAGGAGGAAGGCTGCAGAATGCAACAGATGCGAGGGTGCCTCTGTCCTCCTGTGCTTTATCACCTCGCAGTGTCCTTGCTGTGCCAAGGAGCGTTTGGGGACGCTCTGAGCAGGGATGTGCTGGTGCCAGCTGCTGCTGCAGGGAGGTTGGCTCTGGTGACACACACATCTCATCACACAATTAGCTGCCTTAACAAGCTGCGAAATCTGCCTGGTGCCACTTGCAGAGCTGCTCCCAGTGCTGCTTTTGGCTGCAGTCTCACAGTGTGAGCTGAGGCTTCTCCATTGCACGGCTCAGAATGGGGCAGCTTCGTGCCTGGGTCAGGGGGAACAAGTAGATCTGGAGCAGGAGAAAACTCTGGAGAGCAGCAGATCTGGGGCAACACGGGTGATCTCACCTTGGTTAAAGGAGAAGATAATGCCAAAGGAAGGACGCCGTCATCATTGTGTCCTCTGCTTTTTGGGGACGAATCCTCTACTAGGAGAGCCACAGGCCTTAAATACCATTACGTCCCACAGCTCTCAGAGCTGGTGGGGCCGGAATACACCCACAGCAAAACAGTTCCACGTATCAAGGTCACTGTATCCACCACTGTCAGAGTGCTGGTGCTAACGTGTCCCTCATTTGAGCAGAATGCTGAGCTCAGGGGTGTGCTGAAGGGCACAGAGCACAGCTGTGAGCAGGGCAGAGCCGCAGGGTGACCCCACCGACCTGCTTACAAAAACTGCAGGTCACAAAGCTTTGTGCTGCTGCTGTTCTCAGTGTCATCATTTCTATCTGTTGCTCCAATGCTTTCCAAGCGTTGGAACTTCTCCTTTTCCCTCAAAGCGCACCGGATGCATTTCACAGATGCATAAAACCCCCTCTGAGGGTTCTTCTTCCACCACCTCTCCTCTGGGCCGCAGCTGTGCTGGGAAGCTCTGAGGAATCCTTTTTAACCCCCAGCAAAGCGTTGCTGTCGGTGGCACAGGGCTCTTCCTGCTGCTGTAGGGAAGCTGCACTGCAAAGAAACACCAGGGCGGACTCTAATTAAAGGTTTCAGTGGGAAAGGGGATGAGGTTTAAATTTGGTTTTGTAAACACGATCGTTTCTGCCCAAACCACCGCCGTGAGAAGCCGAGGCCTCACACAGCCCAGGCCCGGGGCCGCCTCCAGGCTAGGCCGCACCGGGACCTCAGGGACCGCTGAGCGCTCAGGTGTGAAGGCCTGGCTTCCTCGGACAGCGCTGAGGGCCGGGCCGCCCCGTTACCTCCCTCAGGGATGGGAGAGAGGATGGCGTCTCGAATGCGGCGGCTCCGGGCCGCATCCGCGCGGCTCGCGCTCTCTGCCCAAGATGGCGGCCGCCCCCTCAGGCGCCCCTTTGTCTGCAGCCGCCGCATTGCTGCGAAGGGCGCGAAACTGGGGCAGCGGAGCCACGCCCATTCGGCGTGCCGGCCGCCAGGGGGCGGGGCGCGGGAGGCTGGCGACCAATCAGAGGCTTCCACTTCCTTCCTCCTCACAGGGGCTCCCGCGGCCAACGGGCTCGGCGCTCTCGGCCAATCGGCGCCGCGCTCCACGCCCCACCCACGCGTGGGAGGAGGTGCCGCCGGGGTTTTGTTCGCGCTCCCTCCTCCCGTCGCTCCTTATGAATATTAACAGCCTGCGGCCCAATCAGATGGCGGCGCAGCGGCGGCGCTTTGGTGGCGTCACTCGCCCCGCCCCTCGGTGAGGACAAATCTGCATATTCATGAGGAGGGCGGGACTGGGCGCGGGAGTATATAAGCCGCCGCCCCGCCAGCCGCCGCGTTCGTCGCGCTGAGGCTTTGAAGTGCGGTGTGGTTTCTGCAGTTCCGCACACCGGTAAGCGCCCGCCGACGCGCGGGGCGGGTTGCGGTCTGCCGGGGGGAGGGGGAAGGGAGGGAATTCGGTGTGGGCATCGTGGGCACCACGTCCCCGATGTCGGGGTGTCGGGTCTGTGCCTCGGCCCGGCGCGGGGCGGCCGCGCACCGCCAGGCCTTGTGTGGCTGTGGGGTGTACAGGACAGCCACTCGGTTGGGTGGCTGCTGGGAGGACCGGGCCGGAGGAGCGCTGAGGGGCGCCTCGGAAACAAAATGGCGACGGGCCTTAGTCGTGCAAAATGGCGGCGGGAGGGAGGAGGGGCGTCGGACTGCGCCTGCGTCGGGGGGCGGGACGGGTGAGGGGCGGGGGTCCCGCGCCGGGCGGGGGTCTGCGTGGCGGGGGCCCCCCTGTGGGGGCGCGCATGCGCGCTGCAGGCGGCGCGGCTCCGTGGACGGTGCGGAGCGCCCTCTGCCGGGCGGGAGGACTCAAGCCGGCATCGCACCATGGTGCTCGCGGGGATCAGAGCGCGTTCGGCGGCAGCGAGCGGAGCCGGGAGCGTCGGTTCGGGCTTTGGGGAACGTTCGGCGGAACTGCTGACTGAAGGCTGGTTGATTTCGCAGGTGACGATGGCATCAGATGAGGGCAAGCTGTTCGTTGGAGGGCTGAGCTTTGATACCAACGAGCAGTCGCTGGAGCAGGTCTTCTCCAAGTACGGGCAGATCTCCGAAGGTGAGGGCAGGGCCGTGCCGGGCTGGGCTCTGCTGGGCTGCAGTGGCTGATGGCAGCTGTTCTCTCCTCCAGTGGTGGTGGTGAAAGACAGAGAAACGCAGAGGTCCAGAGGCTTCGGCTTTGTGACATTTGAAAACATAGACGATGCGAAGGATGCGATGATGGCCATGAATGGGAAGGTAAGCTGGTTCTGCAGCAGCTGTTTGTTCCCCCTTAAGAATGATAGAATGGCCTGGGTTGAAAAGGACCACAATTATCATCAGTTCCAACTCCCTGCTATGTGCAGGGTCGCCAACCACAGCTTCCCAGAGCCACGTCCAGCCTGGCCTTGAGTGCCTGCAGGGATGGGGCATCCACAGCCTCCTTGGGTAACCAGAAAGCAGTGAGATGAGCTTGGTGGGTGTGCTTCTGTTTGAAGCCATGAGGAAGAAGCTAGGTGCTGGAATCCTTCCAAAGAAACAACAGAAAAGGATACAGAGCAACGTGGCTTAGTGAAATCCTGTTGTGTTACTGCATTCTGAAAAAGGCTGAGGCTATAATCACAGAATCGTAGAATGGTTTGGGTTGGAAGGCACCTCAAGGATCTTGAAGCTCCAGTCACTCTGCTGCAGGCAGGGCTGCCAACCTCCACATTTAATACCAGCCCAGGCTGCCCAGGGCCCCATCCAACCTGGCCTTGAACACCTCCAGGGACAGACAGGGCATCACAGCCTCTCTGGGCAGCTGTTCCAGCACCTCACCACTCTCAGGAAAGAACTTCCCCCTGACATCCAACCTCAATCTTCCATCCTTCAATTTCAAATCATTCCCTCTTATCCTGCTACCCTTTCAAAGAGTTGGCTCCCTTCCTGTTTACAGGCTCCCTTTAGGTACTGAAAGGCTGCAGTGAGGTCACCATGCAGCCTTCTTTTCAAGAGTGGCTTTGTAATGCTTGAGAATCCATCTGTGTGTCGTCAGCTCAGTTGCAGCATTGAAGAAAACCAGTACGCACCGGTATTGAAATTCCGGTGTTGCTTCACTGGGAGCCGAGTTGTGCAGCATGCTGTGCAGTGCGTGTGAGCTGATGTGTTTTTCTGTTTGTTAGTCTGTAGATGGCCGTCAGATCAGAGTTGATCAAGCTGGAAAATCGTCAGAGAACAGATCCCGAGGCTACAGAGGGGGATCCACCGGGGGCAGGGGCTTCTTCCGTGGGGGCAGAGGTCGGGGCCGTGGCTTCTCCAGAGGTGAGCAGGCGTTGGGGTTGCTCTGCTTGGGATGGGGGTGGTGTGGGTCAGGGTGCTGGAGGAGAAACCGTAACGTGGTGTCTGTTCCAGGAGGTGGAGACAGAGGCTACGGCGGGAGCAGATTTGACTCCAGAAGTGGAGGATATAACGGCTCCAGAGACTACTATAATAGCAGGTAATGCTATTGCAGCTGCTAGCTAGCTTGTTACAGCTCGCCGTGTCTGTTGCCTGGCAGACAGCAGCGCCAGCAGGCTGCAGAAGCTGCTGAGCCAATACAAAGCGCATGTTTCCAACAGCAGGAGTCAAGGAGGCTATGGAGACAGGTCTTCAGGAGGGTCCTACAGAGACAGCTACGACAGTTACGGTAAGTCCTGGTTCAAATGGGAGCGATGCGTACGTTGCTGTAGGAGCTCTTAAACCTTCTGACCCTGTTCTGAAGTCTGGAAATGCTCTGAGGCTCAGCTTTGGACTGTGCCCCTTTTCTGTTCTTGCCCGTAAGAACCAATCTGTCAGGCTTTGGATGTGGTGGTGCCGTTTAAAATTTCTAATTTGTAATGCATGTGTAGGAGTTGCTTGGATCTAAAGGCAAAGCAAGTTTTTAAATACGTTCTTGGAGCTTGAGACTAAGCCAAAAAAACTCGGAAGCCCTAACAAACTGGATTCAAGGGTGGGGGAGTTCTCTGACACGGTAGAGCAGTAGCTTCTGGAATAATGCAAGGGAGTAAAATGCTGGAACTTGTCTATGCTTCAGTGCCTTTACAATTGTGCCTGCTTCTTGTCCTCAGCTACACACAACGAGTAAAAATCCTTCCTGACTCAAGATCGTCCTTCCAATGGCTGTATTTATAAAGATTTTTGGAGCTTCGCTGAAATCGTTATTGTGTAGTACATCTACTTGTATTTTCACTTTTGTAGTATTATCAGTTCTAATCTTGTCAAACACAGCCTGGCAGCTTCTGATACGAGATGGTCTGACGAGACTTTCCTTTGAGAAAGCTCTGCTTTCGAGTGGTTTTTAACCTTTTTGGAAAGCACTTCTGATTTTGTTTTACGCTTCATGATGAGCCGAGGTGTTTTTTCTTTTTTAAAGTCGTGAAGTTGGGGCCCCAATTCAGTTTCTTTTGAGATAGAAAGGACCTTTAATTCACCGTTCACTAGAAGCTGAACAAGCTGTGGACTTTTTCTTTTTTTTAAGTGCATTACCTTCGTCTTTTGTAACATTCCTTTAGTGTAGCAAGGTAGGAATGCAGCCTGGGTACAAATTGGAAGGCAAACCACCTTGATATATCTAAAGAGAAACTTGCTTGTATGTTCAACCTGCATAACGGTATTTTTACTGTTGTAATGATGTAAATTACCCAGAAATAGACTTGCAAACTTACCATAAAAGAGGTTCTTGAAAATGTTTATTTATATTGTCCTTTTTTACTGGAAGAAATATGCATATTCCATTGATATTGTATTTGAAGTGGTAAAGGATTCTTGTATACAGTTTTCTTTGGCTTTACGAAGCCTATTAAAAGACCGTCTGAAATGAACTCTGCTCCTGCCATTGACATTTCATTGCACAACACAGTCCTTGAAGACGAACAGTGTGTGTAGAAGATGCCAGAGGAGAGGAGAAGACTTAGCAGTAGTGTAAGAGCAAAGCAGACTGAACAGTTGCTAGAATTGAATCTTAACTCGGTCTTGACACGTGAATTCACCGGCGTGCTTCCACATAACAGTGTGTAGGGGCAAAGCTGGCAGCACGGCGTGCCTTTGGGTGTTGGAATGCTTGGTGACAGCTGAGCTGAGTGTTAGTGAGGAGAAGTGCTGTTTCCTTATAATGCTGAAGTGAAGAATTAGTCCTTTGGTGACTGGACTAGTTACTGGAGTGTTAATGGTAGGTAAATTGCCGTAATTAGCTAGCTTTGTCATTGCCTTACAAGTTCTAAGAATTCTTTGCTAGCATATGGAAACTGCAGTGTCCTTGGAGAAAAGAAGTGTTGTGCCTCCAACAGAAACCTCTGAGACGAAAGCTGCTCTCTTGGCTAGTTCATATGTGGAAATAGTCCTGTAATTCGAGGTAACTCCTTTTGCTCATGTCCGCATCCTTCCTCTTGTTGAGAGCTCATTTGAAAGCCTAATGTACCTGTGAAATATTCCTCTGACAATTCTGGTCAGCCGATGGACAAATTTTAACCCATGCCGTATGCAACCTTTGGCTTGTGGCACAACTTCAGTTCCACAGATCAGAGTTGGGCATGCAGTCATGTCTTGCTAGTAGGAACGGAAGCAAGATGGGAAACCGAATTCCCTGACTTGATATGTGTTCATCTATTGAGAATCTTTCTAGACTTCATTAAGTTGCTCACTTTAATTGTAGCTTTCTTTGCCATCCTACTTGTTGCCATTAACTTTTTCCCATAGCCCACACTTCCTAAGCAGCCATGTCAAAGTGGTTAACTCTCTGCTTAGGGATCCAATGATACATTGGCTGGCATATCAAAGGCATCAGCCAGCCCCGGAACAGTTTTCCCACACTGTGCTTCTGTGATGTGATGGGTTCAGCGAATGGCTTGTGAAACCCTCGTATCTGATGTGACCTGTGTTCGGGGGAGGGGGGTGGCGATGCGAAACTTCTCTGTTTGATACCATTATTAATGCACTTCTGCTTTGGCAGGCTGAAGAGAAGATGGACGCTGGGCTCGGAAGCTGGCTGTTGGGTTCTGAGGAAGGCAGTGGTGCCACCAGGGAAGCTGAACCCGCGCCTGAGTTTGCAAACCAGGTAACGGCCCGTCATTGCGGCCCCCGACCCTCAGTGTGGTGGCGTTTCCTGAAGCAGAAATGAAGCCCTGTTTGTAATTTAAGAATAAGGAGCTGTGGGGGGGGTGAAACTTTAGGATGAAAAGTGGACGTAACTCAGCCTTTAAAACGACTGTTTTCATTTGATTTCAGCAACGAACTGCTGTGGAGAGGACCTGAGAAGGAAGGACAGCGTTTGAGCGGAGATGATGAAGGGCTTTGAGCAGAGTTGTTGCTGATGTTTATAAATGGAACGAGCAGGAAAGCCAACTAAGCTAGAATAAAACATTGCAATGTGAAAAAAGAATCTTCGTAGTACTTCTGTGGGCAAACAATGCTAAAATCTGGCTAGATGAGTTCCCCTGTGTGTGTAGCACAGCTGAAGCTACAAAGAAGGGCTGTTCTGGGGAAGGGGGTTGGAGGTGGTTGGGGCCACCCATCTGTGAGGTCATTGCAGTGGAGCAGCTGTGTCTGAAGGGAGAAATGGCTGCGATGGGTTTGCAAACCAGTGCTGGGGAGTTTTCGGGTCTCAGTTTGAGGTGGAACGAGGGATGTGTTGGGCTGTGCTGCTGTCAGGAGCTGTGGGTGGTGGGATGTGAGCAGGAGGTGCTGCTGCGGGCTGACAGCTGTGCTTGGGGTGCTGGAAAGATAAAGCACCAACCGAGGGCAGTGTGTGCTGTGCAGAACCCTGGTCTGAGTCACTTTTTGGCGATCAGGAAATACATTCCAAAGGGTTTTTGGAACACGATAGCACTTAAAGGGCGGGTAGATGACCAAATGGGAGCTGGTTGTGCCAGTCAGAGCTGGGAGATGCACTGCTGGGAATGGGGCACAGTGATGGCTGCTCAGAACTGAGTCCCAACAGCTGGCAAAGTCCTTGGCAGCTCAGCATCCTGAGCGTGGGCTGCTGTGCAAAGCAGTGCTGTGTGGATGTGAGGAGCTGCTGCAGTGCAAAGCAGTGCTGTGTGGCCATGAGGAGCTGCTGCAGTGCAAAGCAGTGCTGTGTGGCCATCAGGAGCTGCTGCAGGCTCGAAGCAAAGCCAAGCCTTGCTGGTAGGAGCAAATGGAAAACAGCCTGAGATCAAAAAAATCGTGGGCCGCCAATGGGAGGGTGCGGTTTTGTGTGGCTTTTCTTTGACATTTGAATAGAACGGCCAATAAAAAAAGACGCTGCCGTCTCGTTAGCTGATGGTGCCTTTTATTTTTGAAGAGCTGCTGTGTTTTAACGGGGAGAAATGGCGCTGGGGGTGAAGCAGGGAGGGTGTTGTATTGGCAGAGGACAAATGCAGGTTTGGTGCTGCGCTGCTGCTCTGCTCTCGTGTTAGAAGGACGCATTTATTGCTTTACACCGCTTTTTCTCTCTCTCTTTTTTAAACCTTTTTCCTATTATCCGAACGATCCGAACTCAAACCCCGCCCCCCGGGGGGGGAAGGTGGGGGGGGGTTCTGTGTGTAGCGATTCCTTCCTCTCACTTCTGATGGTTCCTGGAGGCGATATTAAATGCGGGACTGGGAGAGAGAAGAAAGCTTTGCTGATTTAAATGACAGCAGCCCGTGGCACTGAGAGCCACTCGCACCTCGCGGTGACACAAAGCGTTACCTGAACGACCCCGATGGTCCTCAATGGGATGCTTCAATGCGGCGGGAATCACCGCAGGCTGTTCGCTTTGAGGCGCTGCGTTTAATGATCCGCTGTTGGGTTGGGGCCGGCGCAGCTGAATCACAGAACGGCCAGGGTTGGAGGGGACCTCAAGGATGACGAATCTCCATCCCTGCCACACGCAGGGCCACCAACCTCCGCATTTCACAGCAGCCCAGGCTGCCCAGGGCCCCATCCAACCTGGCCTTGAACACCTCCAGGGATGGACGGGGCATCACAGCCTCTCTAGGCAGCTGTTCCAGCACCTCACCACTCTCATAGCAAAGAACTTCCCCCTGACATCCAATCCAAATCTCCCCTCCCTCAACTTCAAATCATTTCCCCTCGTCCTGCAGTTATCAAACCTTTCATAGAGTGGATTCCCCTCCTGTTTGTCGGCTCCCTTTAGGTACTGCAGGCTGCACTGAGGTCACCCTGCAGCCTTCTTTTTTCCATGCTGAACAAGCCCAGCTCCCTCAGTCTTTGCAGTGGAGGTGCTGCACCCCCCTGATCATCTTTGTGGCTCCTCTGGACCCTCTCCAGCAGCTCCCTGTCTTTCTTGTACTGGGGGCTCCAGACCTGGACGCAGTGCTGCAGATGGGGCCTCACAACAGCAGAGTAGAGAGGGACGATCACCTCCCTGTCCCTGCCGGCCTCTCCTCTTCTGATGGAGCCCAGGATCCCGTTTGCTTTCCGAGCTGGAAGGCACAGCATCCCCCGGGTGGCTCAGCGGGCAGTCAGCGCTTCAGCCTGCCCCCCATCGGGGTCGGAACGGCGCTCATTTCCCCGACGGGAACGCTTCGTTGGGCGGCAGGAGACAGAACCGGGATGGGAAACATCGCGGCCACGGGGAACGGGGTTCGACGCTCCGTTTATCGGCGGAACTCCCGGTGCGGAGCGGCGGAACGGCGCAGCCCCGGAACACCGCGCTCAGCTCCGCCCGCGCCCGGCCCCGCTGTGCGCGCACCTTCCTGCGCCGGGACCGCAGCTCCGTGCCGGCCATGCTGCTCCCGCAGCCCATCTGCGTTCTGTTTCTGCTCCTACACGGCGGCCGCGCCGCGTCCCCCAGTAACGGCACGGAAACCCCGCGGGCGGAGGAAGGGAACGGGACGCGGACGGGCGCGGGGCTGCCGCCCGCATCGGGGCTGCCGGTGCTGCGGCGCGCCGTGTTTGTGGTCAGCGCTCTGTCGGTGCTGGCCGCGCTCTACTTTGTGCTGAGGACGTTCCGGTGAGTGCGGACCCCCACCGTGTCCACCCGGACCCCCCCGGTTCCCCTTCCGCTCCCTCCTTCCTCCGTCACGGCGCTGCATCGCAGCACTTCCCCATCCCGACACAACCGCCCCGCGCCGCCGTTAATGAACGCTAACAATTAAACCCCATCCGCTGTGCTGCGTCCCACCCGCAGCTCCCGGCCCGACGGACGCAGACGCGAACCGAGCGCGACTTTCAGGTGGAAGAAACCGCAGCGGAAGAAGTACGGTCTGCTGAGCAGCTCCGATGAACGCGTGGAGATGGCATCGCTGGACAGCGATGAGGACACCGTGTTTGAGACGCAGAACCTGCGGCGGTAAGCAGCATCCCCTGCTCCTCTTGTCCTCCGGGGAAGCGCCCACACTGCCACCAGAGGGACGCGGGGTGAACCTCAGCTTTACGTCACCTCCCTTCGCTGTCAGACCCTGAAGGCCCCGTGCCCATCTTGCTTCGTGCTTTTGGGACAGAGCCGCACGGCCCTGCAGGGCAGGAGGAGCTGCTGTGGCTCCCGGCTCGCTGCTGGACGCACATTGCTGCCTGCACAGCTGCCCTCATTCCCTGCATCACGCAGCTTTGCTGCTCTGTAGGATTCCCTCTCGCAGCTGAGGATTGGTGTCCCGTGAGCACAGCAGTGCTGCTGGCTGTGCTCACGTTGTGCGTTTTCTTTCTTTTCAGATGATTTGGGACCAGTGGCACAACTGCACAGACCGAGCGAGGGGTGCGAAGTCATCAGCTGGGATCACCGACGTTTTAGTTTTGATAATAATTGCTTATAATGACTGCGAATTAACAGCACAAACTCTTTGGTCGCTGGGGAGGGCAAAGGGGACCAAAACTGTTTCCTTCACACGTCTTTTTTGGGGAGAGGTGGAGCTGCAGAGGACTCTGCACTGAGTGCTGCGTGGGGTGACGCTCAGGAAGACGTAACAGAAGTGACTCTGGGGTGAACACTCTGCATTGAGAGCTGCACGTCTGTGCCCACGGCCTGCCTGGGGCTTTTGAGTGCTCCTCTGACTGTGGCAGCAGCTTGGCAGGCTCAGTTTTCCCTTCCGTGACGTCTGGTCCCTTCCCTGGATTGCTGTGTGCCATCGGCTGCACCCCGTGGTGGAGTTGGGGCAGCAGCATCCCTCAGATCAGACAGAGGAGTTTTGGGAGGGAGCAGCGAGCTGAAGGCGTTCTGGAAGCAGCAGGGTTGGCAGCGAGTGGATGATGGCGTAAATCCCTGCGTGGGTTTACAAAACAAAGAGATGTTTGCAAACAAAAACGTATGAGTTGGTCTGTGGGGCCGCACAGGTGTTCTGCACCCCGAGGGTGGCCAGGAGAAACGCGTGTCCTCCCCGAGCTGCTGTGTAAGGGATGGGAGAGCCAGAGCCTCTCAGCTGCTGTTCTGGATCTGCTCAGACATCATCTCCCTTTGGAGATGCTGCTGTTCCCCAATGGCTGTGCTCCAGCTGTGTCCCATCGGCTCAGCAGAAGGAACAGCACTTGTGTTGGTGCTTGGGTTCGGTGCAGGGCTGAATGTGGCCATTAGAGGGTCGTCGTTGGGGGGAATCGCAGCTGAAATGGTGGGAACTGCTTTCCAAGTGCTTTGGTTTGCAGCTTTCAGCCCCGAAGGGATGGGATGCAGGGCGGGTGGTGCAGAGCCGGATCCCTCAGCCCCACACTGTAGTGCCTTTGTTGGGAGAATTGCCTGCAGGAGTTCCTCCAGCTGTAAGGCTTTGCCTTCATGGTGAGGATTGAAAATGCCTTTGGAGCAATGGAGTGATGGCTTCTAGCGTTGGGTTGGACCTCCTCTGTGGATAAGGGAGGAAGCCTTACTTGCCAAAAAGAGTGGAGCAGAGGGGTGCCTCCATGGAGCAGCTGTGACACACTTTGCTGCAGCCCCAGGGCTGCTGCAGTGCACGGTACAGATGAGAGCTGCTCCGAGGACAGAGCTGTAGCTGTGCTCTGCCTGATCACCATTTCTCCTGGAAAAATAAATGGGAGTGTTGCAGGAGAAGTGCAAAACCCGGGGCAGTCATCATGGGGCCCTGAGGGTCCCATTGGAACAGCATCTTCTCATCCTTGTGCTGCGTCCCTGCAGTTACACCCAGCATTTACTTCTGCAGCCTCAGTCACTGCATGCCAACATGCCAGTAGCCCAGCCCAGGTCTCTGAGCAGAACTCAGAACTGGTAACAGTTGTTCAGGATGGATGTAAATACACAGATGCAAACGGACACACGTGTGCTCTGAGCCCACTAATCCAATGGGCCCGGAGCTGTTGGGACCAATGCAGTGGGGTGATGGTGGGAGCGTGGTGCCCTGCGGTGCTGCACACCATGGGCTCCTGTGCACCACAAACAGCTGCTGCAGAGTTGGCTGGAAACAATCGCTGTTGTTTAAGCCAAAGCCTAATTTCAGAAGTTTACATAATTGCCTCTCTGATCTTCTTGGAGGGCTGCATCGAGTCCTCTGCTGTGGATATCGAGCTGCTAGGCAAATCGACTGGGTGTCTGCAGATGTTAATGAGATCGACTGAGAGCGAGATGAGCATCGGGGCTCTGTTGTTAATAACGTCCCTCTGTTTTGTTTCGTTTGCACATGTGACTGGAATGGGATCCGCAGCATTAGAGCTCTGGAGATGGACCTGTGGGCTGAGCAGATTGCCAAGAAGTCAATAAAACAGCACTCGAGTGCATTGTGTTGGCTGTGCTCTCAGGAACGAGGAGCTGGGCTTTCACCCTCCTGCTCGAGTTGTTGATTTATTTTTAAATAGCAACCAGTCCCGTATCGATTGGTTGTTTTACTTTCCTTGTGTTTACAGCATCCCCCCCCCGTTGTATCCCGAGACAAACGTGTGTTGTTTCCATGTTGTTGCACTTCTCTCCATGCCCACTGCTCACCCCCCACTGGTGCTCTCAGGGTTTGTTCCAACCTGCTGAGGTCTCCTCTTTGTCCTCACCTTCACCTCATCCCTTGTCTGGCTCATCCCTGCAGGGCTGCCCCCATCCTCTCCATGGCAGTGTTGTGATTTTTGTGCTCCTGGTTGTGTCTCCCTGCATCCTCCTCCTCACCACGGCAGCACTGCTGGCCGCAGCATCGCACCGCATGGCACTGCAGTGGAGCAGAGGGCTTTGCTTTGCTCCAGGGTTGGGTGCTGTGCTGGAGGGCAGCGCTGGGGAACCCTGTAGATGGCACTCACAGACCAAGCATGGCGCTGGTGGGTACCAGCAGGCCGTGGGAGGCTGAAGGTGCATCCCAGCGCCTCGAGGAACAAACATCTTCCCAGCAGCTGCCCGGGGCTGGGGTGCGCCTCGCAGGGCTGCAGCTGTAGGAGCGGCGCTTTGGAGCTGTGTTGTGTGAGCAGAGGGCTGGGGAGTGCCCAGCTTTGTTTCGGCTGCGTTTCACCCAGCCCTGTCAGCACTTGTTTGCAGTGCCCTTGATGTTTCTGGCACGGCCCGACTTGAAAGACGCCCTGATTGGGTTGAACTCACCCGCAGGCTCCAGTTGCATGGGAACCACGCTGCAGGGTGAGGACGCGTCTGGGCAGAGCAGCGCGTCCTGGGCTGGGCCTGGCTTCACCCAGCAGGACCACAGCCTGCCCCCAGCACCCAGCAGGACCACA